ATGAAGGTTTTGTTATTAACATGTGTACTTCCATTGTAGGTAATGTGTTTGGGTAACCAATAATTGAATTCCTAATTAATTTAGTTTTCACCGAAGGAAAGAATTTGTAAACCTAACCAAGTGTCCCACCAAATCATCCTCCTAGAACTTCCTCCTCCTTATTGCATCCACCTTGTTTGTTCTCCTTAGTCACTAAAGAAGATGATCTCTATTTTCACCACACGTTCTATAGTGAAATGAGTGATGGAACTAGAAGAAGATTGACGACTAGGACAATCTTCCTCCAGTGGTCGTTTCTGTAGGTGTTTGGAGAGAGAAACGAATATGTAGGAGTTTGTGTGGATTGCACAAAACACTCCAATCAGCCCTAGGGTGATTACTAGGTCCTTTGGGTCCTTTTGTATTGTGTTTTTTAGGTAGGCTCTTTTGTATTTTAAGTCATCTTGGTGGCTTAATGCAAGTCCAATGTGTTCGGACACAATGGCCCATGGAACCCAAAACTATTCTCTAAGCCCCTATTGAACGTCTAATCGTCAATAATTGATTAAATTATTCAATTAATTTATACTCTTTGTTTAATTAATTTAATTATTTGTTTTTATTGGATTTGTATTCATCTCAATATAATACAGGGTATGCAATTCATTAGGTTCTAATTGACGAGGTAATGAGTGATAAAACTGCTATAATAATTTTAGTGAGCTCTCATTTAATTTTCCCTTCTATTGAGGACAATTTTGATTAGCCCTCGATAGTCCCACAAACCATGAATAATGCCTAATTGTATTACATGGCCACCCAAGCCAATATAGAATGCGTTAAAAAACTTATTGAGTTGGAATTGCAATAAAATACCGACATTCTCAAGTTCAATATTCTTAATAATGTTATATACGGTATCGATAGTTCATGTCCTGCCACTAATGTGTCTTGCTTAATCGATATTTCTTTCTCAGTCTTACTAATTCTGTGGAAGATTCCAGAATAATATTGTAGAGCTAGCCTATAGATAGAAAAGCATGATCAAGTTGCATCATCAAATGGTCAATGATGTATTCGTAAGACAATTGTATCGTTTTAAGTCTAAGGATTACTTACGTTGTTGCAGCTGTAGAGTTTTTTGCATGACATGTATATTGAACTTCATACATGAGCTCTTGACTGATCGCATTTAGTGATTTCATTCTTTATTGAGTCCTTACACATTAGTTCAATGTCCTCACATGAATAGCTTGAGACCAACCATGCATCAGCCCAATTGCGCAAACACACCGCGTAGGATATGGCATTTGGGAGAAGAAGGTTCCATGAACCTAACTTCGTTAGATTGCTTATTTTCATGTTCATTATCTATGGACTCACTATTTAGGACTATAAATATTAATGAGACTAGTCATTATCAATGTTCTTGCCCTTTGACTAGATTAATTGATTATTCATTTGCATAATTCAGAATATTTCTTCTTATGAATGACTTTTAGGGTGTACAACTAACATTATCCACTTTCATTAATTCTGAATTAGTTCTTATCAAAACCCTCCTTTGACATGTATACTTAGAACCAACTTAAAACGGAATACGCAAAAGAGAAAAGTTCAAGTGTCTTCTTCCAAATAAAGCTGAAGTTAATTAACAATTGGTTGACATTGTTTGTTGAACTAATATAATTACATCATTTTCAAATCTTTAAGGGTTATAATTATTAACTACATTACAAAAGATGATAGATTGGTACAAAAGAAGATGATAGAAAGAAAAACAAGAGAGAGATATTGAAGAGGTAAGCGAAAGCTCTTGAATTGATTGATATTATATGAGAATAGTTTTTGCTAACTATATATACATAACTCCCACACACTTAGTATCTACACTATGAGAATGGCTAAGTGGGCTAAGCATTATAATGGATTTGCTATACTAATGTGGTTCAACTTCGTATTTGGCGAGAATGGATCTAAGACCTTTCACTTACAAGTGAAAAGAAATATTACTAGACCTTAGTATTACGTGGCCTACAATTAACAACTTAACAAACTTCTAACAAAGCTAACAAGTCAATACATCAAATGATATCATATGTTCATTGCATCCAACATACAAGATAGTAACACATGGCACTTAATAATAATGATCGGTTTGTAAAAATCAAATCCGGTTGCTAAAACAAGTCTCAAAGTCGATTAATTCTTTCTCCACATGGTGGCCATCGAAGACATTGGCTGGAGTTCAATTTGAGGGAGGAGAGAAGGACAGCGTCTGCGTACACGTTTGCAGCTGATTCATTAATATGCCATAATTTGCATGTTTATTAACACGAGTTAAATATGCATGTTCGAAGTCACCGTAATTGACAACTTCGTGCTTCGTTTTTGAATCGGCTTGTTATATTGAACTACTCTAGTATTATATTCAGTAACAATACTTAGGTACCTAATTAAGACCAAGATGCATGTATTGCATAGAATAATGGGGGAACAGAAACAAACAAACGCACGCGTCTGGAATTTGATCAAACACCTCATCGCATCACATGCAAACTGGACAAAACCATACCCCTCATATATATTATTGCAGTACGTGACAAAAGTTTTCGATGCAATTTGTAATCAAATTTTCGATGTGACGTGCCAAATTTCTTAAAAATTCACTCATATTCTTTATTTTTTTTTTAACGAAGGTGAACTCCTATCAAATATAAAATAGTATAAAAGACATTCAAGTGTGTTAAGTGTAGTAAAATAAGTTAAATATCAGAGTATGAAACAAATAAACGAACTAACTGAATATGAAATTTTATTAAACGAATTGCCAAGAAAACTACATGAACGAAGATGCTACATCTTGACTAAGTTATTTTAAAACTTATAAATTACAAGTTATATATTTATAGCGATATAAACCTAAGAATCCCTAATGGGTAAATACCCAAAAAAAAAAAAAAAAAAAAAAACTCTAATTCAAAAATCAAATCAAATCTCTATTTAATTTCTTAAATAAACCTAATAAATTCCAACACTATCTCATAATGGGAAATATGCATTCTACTTTTTACAAATATCGTATTTTTATTATATAATATTTTTTATAATTGAATCGAATAAGAAAGAATATGTGCATTGTCCCGACGGAGAGATCCAATTATTGTCCTTACCCAAAAAGAGTGCATAGATCATCACGCCAATTTAATAATCCATGCATTAGTGAATATTTTGGTTGGAGAAGGAATATTAAAATGGTTGAGTGGGAACATGAGATCATTCCTCTATAGACGGCCCAAGCAGGCACCAGGGATTCGGTATGTGGCTCATTCTTGTCCTTATTCTGGCAGTATCATACCAACACCCGAATTGCGTATCAAACTCTAATCATTATCTTATTAGTGGATCTAATTAAACAATATTACTCCCGCCTGTCAAGCCCCCATCGATTTCTTTGTGATTCACCAAATTGCCATCTCGATCTCTTCTAAATACTATCTAACTTTGGTTAATAACTTAATATTAGATCAATTTGGTCTCGGATGGGGAACACTTAACCTAAAGAACAATCATTGGTCCTTAAATTGCGCCTTTTCTCATGATATGTCTTGATTGAAGGATTTCTTTTATATAAATATATATTTATGCTAAGGAGTGAAGAGAATAAATTGGTTTCGAACTTGAGACATCTCACTTAAAATAATGAAAGTGTCAAATGTGAAGCCATGGCATCATCCTACCCCTCTATCTCTGATATGTTTAAATTTTTCAAAACTATGGACATGTAGAAGAAAAATGATATCCCCACTTAAACCAAGACATATTTTTACTTGTTCAAATAACAATTTAGGTGAAGCAGGGTCAAGAAAACGAATTTGTTTATGATAAAGAGAAGGTGGACCGACTCATCAAGTTCCCACTGAAATAAGAACCACACAAGGAAAAAACACTTGCCATTCGTTGGTTATTACAGTATCTTGAACACGTCCAGGTCGAAATATGATTTTCAAATTAAGTTCTGAAATAGTGAATGTTGCCAACAGGTATTAGCGATGCCATTCGCAAAAAGGAAAAGGCTTAGGCAAATAGAGCTTTTGCACATTTTTGTTAATTCATGAACAAGATCTATATAGACACATACACCCATGGATCCATTATACATCACGATCGGAAAAAATCAATAGAAAAGAAAGAATTATAATTTTTTTCTTGTCGAAAAATAGTCGAAATTGATAGATATATTTCTCGAAACAATAAAAAATGATTGAAGATGATTATCACTAAATCGTAGTTTTTAGTGGCTTAACCGAAGAATTTTAACCATTGATCCTTAATATCATATAAATAAATTAAATCAAGACAAACTAAAACATACATAATTTAAATTAAAGAAATACCAACTGGCTTAAATAAAAAATTGTTAACTATTGGTCGTTAATATCATAAAAATAAATTAAACCATGAAAACTAAAACAAACATAATATAAAATGGTAAATATCTCTTGAACGAAGGATTTTTTAATTGAAAATCAAAACACTCTTCCCATAACACAAGATTAAAAAACAATAAAGAAGAGTAAACCAAGGCATTCTGTCTGCCATTTAATTTGCTTATTTCTAGCTTCATGTCCTCCATATCATATAAATATGACCCACCATGCACTTTGAAAGGGCACAAAGAACAAATCCAAGCTACAGAGCCATGAAGGGATTGCAAATCTGTAATTAAACCAAAACTCAATAGTAAGTTCCATGTATACAAACGTTCTATAATGTTCGGAAGATCAAATTTTTAATCTAAATTTTGTAAACTAAATACTGTAGTCATTGTTGATGATTGAATTATTACTTAAATATTAATTAACGTACTTATTTTATGTTGACATCACATTATTTGATTTGAAAATTGGTTTAAAAGTTTAGTGTACTTAGCATTACCCATAGTTTTAAATCTTATGCTATATATAAGTATGATGCTAGCTACTACCATTTGCTTTCATTGCCACCTCCTAAAACTACCAAAAATGCAAGCCAACCCCTTCCAAGTTATTCCGAAACTAATATTCCCCTCACTGATAAAGCTGCATCCGGTGCACCGATCTCTGTCACCACCACCCACCAAGCCACCGCGTGCGATATCCATCTCCACGCCCGGTGAAACCAATCATGATCCTATTATTTCAGTCAACCGTAGACGTTGTTGATGACTCAGTGGCTGCATTTTGGGACTACCAATTTCTCTTTGTGTCCCAACGCTCCGAACAAACTGAACCTATCACGCTCAGAGTCGTGGAGGGTTCGGTTCCACCGGACTTTCCCTCTGGCACGTACTACTTGACAGGGCCGGGGCTCTTCAGTGACGACCATGGCTCGACGGTGCACCCATTAGACGGTCACGGATACCTTAGGGCTTTTCAGTTTGATGGCTTTGGCGGAGAAGTCAAGTTCATGGCTAAGTACGTGAAAACTGAGGCTCAAGTTGAAGAGCACGACCCTACGACTGACAGGTGGCGATTCACTCATAGGGGGCCGTTTTCGGTGTTGAAAGGTGGACAGAAAGTTGGGAATACAAAGGTTATGAAGAATGTGGCAAATACTAGTGTCTTGAGGTGGGGCCGGAAGCTGTTGTGCTTGTGGGAAGGTGGCAACCCATATGAGATTGAATCTGAGACGTTGGATACGGTAGGGAAGGTAAGTTTGATGGAAGGCTGTGATTCGGGGACGGAGAGTGGAGACGGTGGTGGTGGTGGTGGTGGAATGTGGGATGTGGCTGCGAGGTTGCTCAAACCGATTTTGTACGGTACGTGTTCCATGAACTTTCAAAGTAAGCTGGAAAATAATGAGTATGATACTAATATAGATTGACTCACGTATGAATCACACTTTTGCTGTGGACTGAAAATTTGAGTGTGATACCATGAGTTCAATATATTAAATTCATAAATGTAATATCAATATATTTAACTCACATTAGTGTGTTGGTATTGTTATAGATATCAAACTTAAATTGTATAATTTTTATATATATAGATATCACGCTCAAATTACTGTAAAAAGCCTAAAAGGTGAAATGGTAATTTTTTATGCTTTTTTTTTTTTTTTTTTAAGATTAATGGTGAACAAAACGAAGTAAATTGCTTTGTGTTATGGATTACATAATTTTGTGTGTGTGTGTGTAGATGGGGAACAGATCCCCTCCTGAGTAAATCATACGGGCGGTTGGATTTTGATTCAACGACTACAATTATTATAACTTTTAGAGGGGCTCCCTGTTTGTAGCCGTTAAATCAAAATTCAATGGTTTGTGTGATTTGCTCAGGAAGGGATCCGTTCACTATATATATAGTACTGATTTTTTTTTTTTTTTTTTATAAAAAAAAAAAAAAAGAGAAAGCAAGCTTTCAATCAGTTTCAGATCGGCATCTGGCGAGTAAACTAAAGCATGATATGTATTAAAAAAAGAACTGAACTTGGTTGCTACAAATTCAGCAGCAGCAGCTGCTTACACCCAATCGCGACTGGACACGTGTTCAAGTTTTTATTTTTTTAATCAAACTCGAATACGTGTCCAACTAGAATTGGGTGTAAATAGCAACTGCTGCTAAATTCTTCAGCAGCAAAGTTATACCTTAAAAAATTAAAAATAATTAAACTGGACTCAAGACTAACTCAAAAATATAGTCTATTCTCTAAAAACATAAAAAGTGAGTTTTTAGAGTTTTTAAACTTAAACTCACTCCTTTCTTTTCTCTCCCTTCTCCCCTCACTCCAAATCTATCTCTCTTTTCTTCTCTCTTTTTTATTTTTATTTTTTACCTTTTTCGTCTCTCCTTCAATCTGCTCTCTTCATTCTCTCGGTTCTTTCTCTCACTCCTCTCCCTCTCTATCTCGTCCAATCATCTCTCTTCTTTCTCTTTCCTTCAATTATCTCTTAATTTCTTTCCTCCTCTCTCCTCTTTCTCCCTCTCCTGCAACCCCCCCTTTTTTAGACCTATTTGACTAGTTTAAGTCGTAAGATTTAAAAATTTTAAATCGCAAACCAATCAAATTTTTTAGTCTCAAAAAAAATTGTTTTCAAGAAATGTTTTGAGAAATGATAAAAAATTTCAAATAGGATACCAAACAAGCCCTAAGATTCCTGAGTCATGTATAAATAAGTGGATTGCATAGTCTGAATTGTATACTGCTTATATCCTGAAGATGCAGTATAAGGAGGGTGCAACTTTGAACCAACTGCGGACTTCCTAATACAATAACTTTGGTTAATCAATAATAATAGGATATGACACTGTCCCCTTTTAAGTAGAATAGTTAATGTATTGTGAAAACTACAAGAATAGATTAGAATTGGTAAAATGGAAATGGAAAGTCGTTTTTTTCGAAAAGAACTTGCTACGTACCCAAGGAAACGAGGAAAGTTGTTAGGATTTAGCAACATTCTCATTTGAATTAGATGAAACATGAATTCAAATCTAGTTAATTTTGTGGATAGATGATATCTAGGAGGTGGCTTAGATAGTAAACGTTTCTGATTATCAAGCAGTACTGTATTATGAGAAAAAGTTAAAAAGGTAGAATGAAAAAGTCTAAATGAGAGAATTACTAGCATTACTTAGTCATAATATCATTATGGTGCCCCGTCGAATGGAGAAGTAATTTTTGGAGGACTCCTTAGTTACTATATATTCCTTAGTTTTTAGTTAATACTTAATACTTATTCTGATTCTATATATTATGTTTACAGGAGTGTTTAAGATGCCTCCGAAGCGACTATTGTCTCATTATAAGCTCGATGCTCGCAACAACAGGCTTCTTATGGTGTCATGCAATGCAGAGGATATGCTATTACCTTGCAGTAATTTTACATTTTATGGTAATTAAAGGCATGCACGATTTGCAGAATTTTAATTAGAGATGGGGATTTTCAAAGAATTTATAGTTTTACATATTTTTTTTTTTTTTTTTTTTTTGGGTTCTGCAGAATTTGATTCAGATTTCAAGGTGCTGGGAAAGCAAGAGTTCAACATCCCTGATCACTTGATGATCCACGATTGGGCTTTCACAGACACTCATTATATACTATTTGCTAATCGCATCAAGCTTGATGCTGTCGGTACGTTTTTTAAATAACTTACCGTGATTTGCTGATCAATTTTTTATTTTTATTTACTGATCATAAGATCTAGAGAGCATTTTGATGAGGATCTCCGATACTTACAAGGTAAGGTGTAGGTGAGTACCATTTTTTTTTTTTTAACTCCATATGTTTAACATAAAAAAATCAAATTTTTGTTGGAAAGTTACAAACAAAATGCATTATATTTTGCAAATCGTTACAATATTTCAATCCCTTTCCTTTTTCTTTTCCACTTAATGTTTCTCCACGTTAGAAACAATTATAAAACATTTGCCACTGGTAAAAGTTATAAGTTATAATGACAGACAAACATGTTTTGCATGATTTTATTTGGTCGAATATATTTTACATGATTATATCACTCCATTATCTACCCAATTATATGTTTCTAAAAATTTTCTTGTTGACAGAATATGTTGCTAAAATTGATCGTGTAACGAACTGTCAAAGATAAGTTTAGAAGCATTTTTAATGGTAAAAAATGCTTTTGACTATGCTTAGCACAAACACTTAAAAGTATTTATGGTTTATAAAACTTTTTTTCGGAGAAAAACCTACCATGCAGAACCTTTATATATTCATAAAACACTTTATAGTAATAAGTTAAACGTATTTATAATAAAACATCGTTGGTGTCAAAACTCGAGCAGAGACTGACTGGGTTCAACATGTATTTCCTCGAGTGTTATTTTCGGTCTCAATGCCACGAGATGGCTTGAGTGAAAGAGAAAATGGTTGTGCTATTGTTGGAGGTTGCCAAGTGTGTGTAGAGTTGTATTGTGCTTGCGCGTAGATCTAACTTCTTAGCCAAACAATTGTGCATTGAATGAGACACTGATTTGGTTAAGTTCCTTTTATGCTTTGAGGGAACGAGGACCTGAAATCTAGTGGGAAATTAGTATATGCCTAAGTTATAACTAAAAATGAAAGTAGAATTGGAAATAAAAACATGAAATTGAATGTAATCATTTCATGATGAAATCAAGGTTACAAATGTTTACAAAAGTGATTTTAGGCTAATAAGAAGTCTATATGACTTGACAAGTAAATAGACTTTAAAATATAAATAAAGTAGCAATAAATTCTAGCAAGATTCAGGCATGTAGGATAGATCATTCTAGAGGAGTCCACTGAGGCCATCGGGATCTGACTGGACTAAGCATGAAATATTGCCTCGAAGAGGTGATCAGGGTGGTTGGAATTGCACGTCAACCAAATCATACGACTGGGGTGGCAAAGCTATAAAAGTTTAAGATCTTAGGGATCGTAAGCAGTGTTTGCTTCGAATGAAGGCTTTAGATTGTAGCTGAAGGCTAGAGATTGCTAAAGAGCAATTGGTTCGCGCTGAAAAGTCGTTGGGTTGATTAAAGAACACTTGAGATTTGTATAATCTCAAGTGATTGAATTTGACGAAGGTCTCGAGCTTGAGGCCTCTAGCTCTATTTATAGACAATTGGGAAAGAGCAACCTTGAACATATCGTAAGTTGGAGTAATGGTAGATCGTCCTTTTGATACTGATAATGACTACAATTCGTAGTTGTTGGTCTTCTGTGAGATTTTATAGTGCTCGCATGATTGTCATGGTGACATCGGCGTCTCTAGGGACGCCTGCCATTTAAGGATGCAAGAGATTCTTAGGTCTAGTCTCCCATATGGCAAATAGGCTTCCAGGAGGGTCGCGTACGAGCCCTCGGTTGGCTCTAGTTGCGAGAGGTAGTCATCGAAGCCCTAGGTGAGAATCTTGGATTGGGCTTTTGGATTCGATGGACCGATATCGCACGACTGTTATATTTGACCCATAAAAGACTCTTTTTATTTATGATCCAAACAAGTATTTCTAACTCATACTAGTACTTCTTACCTACGGAAACAATCTCAAAAGAGTACTGTCAAGATATATAAAATTGCTATTTTTTTCTTTTCTTTTTCTGCTACACAAGGTAAATGGCTTCTTAAAGTACTAACTAAAACGTTTTTAACACTACTTTCTATACGATTGAAATTGCAGGTGCAATGACAGCAGTTTGCGGGGCTACTCCTATGATAACAGCATTGTCAGTGAACCCTAGCAAGTCCACATCTCCCATATATTTGCTTCCTCGGCCTAGTAATGAAAATGGCAGAGACTGGAGAGTGCCTATTGAAGCGTCTTCACAATTATGGTTCCTACATGTATGCAATGCTTTTGAGAATTTGGATGAGAATGGGAATTTGGATATTCAAATCCATGCTTCTGCTTGCTCTTACGAGTGGTTCAATTTCCAGAAATTATTTGGTAATTTTTTAAATATTTAACTCTTATTGTTTTTCGTGTAAAGAAAATTGAGCTTCCACTATAAAAATAATAAGCAATATAGTGAGAGTAGCCTAATTACTTATAATCACATGCAAAATTTATCATTTTTACGATGTGAGATTGATATTCTCAACACTGTACTGAATCATATGTTCAGTGACATTTAATTAGTATATTTTGTTAAAGGCTATAAGTTCAAATCTCACAAGTGAAACCCTAAAATTAGTGAAGACCTTTTGTTTTGTCTGCAAACTTGTTCAACATTTTTTTTTTTTTAACAGGATATGATTGGCAAAGTGGTAAACTAGACCCTTCGGTTATGAACATAAATGGAAGCCAAAGCAATCACTTGCCTCATCTTATTCAGGTTTTTAATCTCAAGTCTGGATCCCTTCTCAGGTTTATTTTTTTTTAGTGAGTAATGTTATATAGCCACACAAACTAAGTGCATCGCTGATACGTTCTCTAACACAGACTGCACCTTTATTAGAAAGTATGTCAGAAAAAATGTCAGTTTTCTATGTCTAAATACCATTATTGTTTTTAAATTGTAATACTAATCTAAATCGTAACTGTGAATAACTTTGATTTGTAATACACGTTCAGATTGATGGTCCAACAATGCCAAAACAAGTATAGAATCTATTCGCTTCAAACTAGCTAGAACAAAATAAGTTTGAAATTGCAAATAATTAAGAAAAAATGAATTGACTAATATTGCAGGTTTCCATCAACTTGGATAGCAACGGGAACTGTCAAAGATGTGATGTGGAGTCTTTAAACCAGTGGAACAAGTCATCAGATTTTCCAGTTATCAACCCAGCCTTTTCAGGTAGTAAGAACACATACTTATATGCAGCAGCAACTTCAGGTTCTCGCAGTTCGTTGCCACACTTTCCATTTGACATGGTGGTGAAGCTAAATGCTGCATCTAAATCTGTGCTCACATGGTCCGTTGGTAGTCGAAGATTCATCGGAGAGCCTATTTTTATCCCCAAAGGCTCTGAAGAAGATGATGGCTACATTGTCGTAGTTGAGGTACATATACGTTTGTATTCTGTGTACAAAATTTTCAAGTTGGCAAATTTAAATCTTAAAGTGAGACTTTCTATATATATATATATATATATATATATATATATATCTTGCTTGTATTGCAGTATGCAGTTTCAGTTCAAAGGTGCTATCTAGTTATCTTAGATTCCAAGAAGATTGGAGGAGCTGATGCACTAGTAGCAAGACTTGAAGTCCCCAAGCACCTGAATTTCCCTCTTGGTTTTCATGGTTTCTGGGCCACTGCAGCGTAGTTTCATTTTTTGGGTTACAAACACCATATTGTTCAAGTGAAAAAAATTTAAAGCAATGTACATTGGTGGTGGTGGTGGTTTGTACAAAGAAAATTTGTAAGAAATTATTCTCTTTGTGTCCATCAAACTAATATTAACTAAACTGTCCATCTGCTATTGTCTATAATTTATTCACATGCAAATACTGGCAGATGTAAGCTTTTATGCAAAAATTCTAAAAGCATATGATAATGAAAAAGTTTAGTACAAATTGTATTTATTCAGCAACGTTACTTAAGGGGGATTATTACTTTTTGCAACACGCCTCGTCCCCTCCTCACATGGGATCACACTTTATCGAGCCACATATGAGGTTAATTCTACATTGATAATTTTTTTTTACTGTGAATTTATACTATACCACCTTAATTTTTGGTTCACTAACAAATTTATACATCATCTTTTGAAGATTGCAATGTTTGTACATCAACTTACAAATTCGTTGCAATGTTAAACTTTTGTTAAATTCACTATTAACTAATGATGTGACAAGCAAGAGACGCACTCCACTCCCACTCCCGACTAGAATACTGACTGACACGTGGATTGACAACCCAAATAAAAAATAGGCACCTCAAATTAACTAACATGTGGACTGACTATCAAATAAAAAATACACCTTTAATAATTACTAATTTAACAAGTTAATGTTATAATGAAAATTAAGTTAACATATTTTTCTCCTTTCTCCCTCCCATATTCCATCCCTTTCTCCTTTCACGTTGCATCAACATCCAAGGTGCAGCCCCACATTAACGACGGTGCCACTCTCATCCGACTACCAGCGACACCAAAACTGACATTCCTAGAATACTCTCGTGATACTTAGTCCGAATCTCTACTTTATTTCATCAAATTCAAAGTTGATAGGTTCAAATTTCAAATATAGATCATGAAAGTTCGTGGGTTTTCGATGGATTCACGTTGGTTAAAGGTGGTGAATTTCTATGTGAAATTGGTACCAGGTGGAATAACCTACAATTTAAAATTTATATACGTGCTTGTCTGACAAGTCAGCAACACTCATCAACTAAGATCAGATATGTTAGTTTACTCATAGCGGAAGTAGTCAAGTTTCAACGTAGTTTGCTAAAATGTTCCAGGTTAACTAAGATCCATTTTGTGCACATTTTAACTCTGTCAATCTTAGTTGCATGGACTTATCTCTTGTAAATAATAATGAACATATAACACAAGCAAATGGTAAGATAAGTAAACTAGAAAAACGATAAATTGCACGGGATGTTTTTGGCCGGAAAAACCACCTCTGGGTTAAAAAAACCGAGGAATCTCCATCGAGTCCAATCCACTAGTGAAATCAAGATTCTTATAAAGTAACCACACAAGCTCAATTCCTAGATCCTGATCTACGGAGCAGCTTGTACCTTTGTGCAATCTTGCCTTTCACGAGGTGAACTCCTTCGGTCTTCACAAAGTGGCAGCTCCTCCTGAGCTCTTAACTTTGTGGCACCGAGATCTAATCAACTTATGCAAATGATGTTATGATGAAGTTGATGCAAATCTAGATTCGACTGTTTAGTTAGTTTCACTAGTCAAACACTTGAATGATGAAACTGACATAAATCCAAAAAAAGGTCAACTCAAAGATTTGAAACTGAAGAAGCTTAACCTAAAGCAAAGATCAAAATCACAAAAAACAATGTTACCCTAGTATGCAATGATCTGGGTATTTAGTGCATGATTGTGATTTTGTGGCTAGGGTTTTCAAGTAAGAACATGATCCCAGAGAAGCAATTACACCCTAAATCTAACTGAAGCTTGTGTGGTATAATTTACAACATTTGACAAGGGAAGCCAAACAATAACAACTAGACTTCACACTATGTTTTACGGGATTTTGTGAGATTTGATGACTATCTAAAAGGGGAAATGGGTTGGTACCATAACCTAGTTGAAATTTTGTAGATATTAGAAGAAAATTCAGGTTCTTTAAAGGGACGACTCAACAATGTGGACTAAATATGCGTTCAATCCTTAGGACAGTTTCTGGGTTAGGTATGTATTGGGAAGGATTGGGTCAGGTATGGGTTAGGATGGCGGGGTTAAGGTGGGGCAGCGACAATGTGATACTTAGAAAGGGATGATGTGCTAGAGTTTTGAGGAAGAGTGGAGTATGCGGCACACATGAGGCCAAAGAAGATGGAGCAAGGGTTAGACTCGAAATCCTTGAGTTTCTAGGTAGCCACCTTGGTGGCCAGAACTTGAACGAGAAACCATGGCCAAAGTTATAAACTCGACCTCAAGCTCGTCTTGTTTGGTTGGATGATTCCTGTGGACTTCGCAATGGTAGGGAAGTGGACTTGGAATAACAAGAACAAATCTCCCAATGTGGAGGATAAGCGCATGGTGGAGAGGGATAGGGTTTGGTCGGGAATATGTTTTTTTTTTCTTTTTGTTTTGGGTCGATTGAAATTTCTAGGGAAGATAGGGTTTGGCCGAGGAAGATGGTGAAATTTTTTAAATAATTTACAATTTTTTAATTGCATTTTATTTATATAACAAACTTGATAGCCATGTCACATACTTTTGTGCTGTCATCATTTGTTCTCTCCTTTTCTCCCTTTCACGCTACAACAACATCTACGTCGCAACTTTGCATCAACGATGGTGCCACTCCGATCATTTTTGGGGTGTGGGTTTTTTTTTCTGTCGAACCTAGGTCCAGGTGTGACGCTGAGTAACTGAAATACTAGATTATGTCATGAAGAACTTGTAAAGTCTAGTCTTAAGTGTTTGGCTTTCCTTGTCAAATATTGTATTTATGTACCACATGCTCAATTTAGTTTTAGACTACATTATCTAATTATGGGCTACTGCTAACGTTTAAGGATGTGGCTCACTTCACTTCAAAAGGTTTGGTCGTGCATGTGCATTTCACGTCTGTATTCTTGGCGCATTCTGTTTAGTGTTGTTGTCTAGTCAGAATTGCTCGTTGCTTTCTAGCTGGATGTGCATGTAAATTAAGATTTGCCCACATGGGCTTCCTGACAACTTTCTGCTGATGGAGAATCTGACTAGTCGTTTGGCTGGAGAATCTAACTAATCATTTGAATCCAGATTTTATATGCATATCATAACATCATATAATTTCGTGATTTGAGTTGATCTCGATGCCACAAGGTGATTAGCTCAAAATGAGCTGTCACTTCGTGAAAACCGAATAAGCCCATCTCATGTAAGGCAATGTTGCACAAAGGTAAAGTTGTTTCATAGATAAGGATCTAGGAATTGAGCTTATGTGAACTTTGTATGAACCTTTGTTTACACTAGTGGATTGGACTCAATGGAGAGTCCTCTATTTTTTAATCCAAAGGTGGCTTTTTCCGGCCAAAAGCATCCCATGCAATTTATCAATTTTCAAGTTTACTTATCTTACTCTTTGCTTGTGATATATGTTCATCATTATTAACAAATAGATAAGTCTATGTAACTAAGATTGTCAGAGTTAAAATGTGTACAGAACTGGATCTTAGTTAACTAGGAACACTTCAGTAAACTGAACCTTGAATTGACTACTTTGGTTGTGAGTAAACTAACATATCTGATCTTAGATGATAAGTGTTGTTAACTAGTCAAACAAGCATGTATATAGATTTTAAATTGCAAGTTATTTCACCTGATGCCAATTTCAATTGGTATAAGAGCTTTGCTCTAGATATACATAGAGTGATCTCTATGAGCTACTAGTAGTGGGCGGAATCTCACCATGGATTGTGATCGTGTTGTGGGATCTTGCAACTCTCATCCATTTTTTGATGGTATAATTTATGCTACTTAGAACGAGAAGTTTCAAATCTTTCTTTGGGGCTCAAGATCTTATTGTTGTTGATTATCTCACCCTTGAGTGGAATGCTCCATTGAGGCTAGTCAATGGAAAGTTTGTGATTAAGCTAAAAGGTGAATGGACTGAAGGAGAAATTGCTTTGGCCATGGCTAATAGGAAAGCAAAGAATGTTATTATTTCTGCCATTTTGTCTAATTAGTTTGCTTATGTTCGATATTACACAACTGCCAAGCAAGCTTGGGACAAACTCCAAATTCTTCATAAGGGTGATAAACAAGTGAGAGACCTAAAGCTCCAGATGACTATTTCAAAATTTGAGGATTTGAAAATGCTAAAGTCTGAAACCTTCTCCGTCTTATATGAGAAAGTTGAAATGTTGACAAGTGAAGCCTTGGGGTTAGGGAAACCTATTGATGAAACAACCACTGTTCAAAAGATTTTGAGATCTTTGCCCAAGAGATTTCAAGCAAAGAAAGCTGTCATTCAAGAGTTTCAAGACCTAAATGAGATCAAGCTTGGAAAATTGGTTGAAAAACTCATCACCTATGAGATTGAGCTTGATATGGATGAAAATGACTCCAAGAAGAGAAAAGAAGTGGCACTTCAAAGTGTTGTGAACAATGAGAACATAAGTGACTTGTGTGGACAAACCTTAGAAGATGATCTTGCCATACTTGTCAAATAATTTAGAAGGATTCTCAACAACAAAGGAAGATAGTTCAAAAAGATTAGGGAGTCCTCTAGAAACTCAAATCACCAATCACATGGAAAGTTCACTTTTGGTAGAAAACAAGGAAAATTTACAAGTAGAAAGGACAAATCTCCCTCAAGAGAATCTGGTCTCTGCTTTTCTTGTGGTGGTAGTGGACATCATGCTGCTGAGTATGCAAACAACAAGGATTAAGTCAGAAAATGGACAAAGCAATGATGGCTACTTGGAGTGAAAGTGAAGGCGAATGGTCTATGCATTCTAATGAGTCGTCAAATGATAAAAAAAAAATTGTTGCTTTTGTTGCTCCAATGGAGGAAATGTCTCCAATTGATGACGGTCTTGTGTTGAATGACAATGAGGAGATGACTTATGATGAGTTATGCATTAAGTATAATACTCTTTTTGATGAGACTTGTGCTACAAAAGTGGAATAGATTGAGATGACCAAGAAAGTTGCTGAGTTGCAGAAAGAAAACAAATCATTTTGT